CTGAACAGCCAAAGGCGGGACCACAGCCGCAGTAACACTTCTGGAGGGAAGACAATGAGGGGCCCAAGAGCCTGAAACAAGGCCCAGGTCCGAACCCGGGACGGAAACAGATGGAAAAACCTCCAGATCACCAGGAAACCAAACCCAGCGATCTGGAAAGAACCATCCCCTGGCGAGCAGACAAGCGGACTGACTGGGAGCCCACTCCAGCCAGTCGTCGAGGTAGGCCAGACACCGAATCTCAGACGCAGACAGGGCACTAAGATCCGGTAAAGATGCAAAGAGTATACCAAGTGCCCGTTACAAAATAGGGAAGGCAATAAAAACAGCAAACCTGAAGCCCCACCACCAAAGCATTATATGACAATCATATTAAGACATTATGACATATGACAATCATTATATGACAATATGACAAGTATAATCAAAGCATTATATGACAAAGAGTGCTGGGAAGACGGGACACCACGAGAGTAGCTCTCATCCTGTAACTACACTTAGGTAAGTACACACAGGTAATTACCAACCGTACTAGCCCCAGAAAAACTGGAGAGGAACGTGCCAAGAAGTGACCTGGAGGTCCAGGGCCACCATCCATGCACCCGGCCCTAACAGAATCCGAACAGGAGACAACAGTCCTCCGAGGAGGGCAGAGGATCCAGGGCACAGACTGAAGTAGTCCAGAAGAACTGCAGACGGGAAAAGCTCATGACTGCAAAGAGCAGACGGGAAAAGCTCACGACTGCAAAAAGCAGACGGGAAGCCCAGAAGGATGGGGTGGAGCGACCACGCCCCACGCACCCACGAAGAGGAAATGACGAAGTGCATGGGAAGAAGCCCACCCCGCCAGCTCTGAACCCCTCCCAAGGGGGAGAAGCCGTCCCCCGACGCCAGCAGAGGCCGGAAGACAACCCAAAGCGCCCACCAACAGCAGGACCAAGCGAGAGGCAACAGAGCAAGCTGCTCCCCCAGCGCCCAGTCAACAGAGAAGGGAACAGAACCCCTTCCGAAAGAAAAAGTACACTACCGAAGTCATGAGGAGAGACTACGGGAATGAAACCACACTTCGCTGGAAGATGAAGTGAGGGGAGACCTGATCACCACATTCAAGATACCCAAGGGAATCGACAGGGTTGATAAGGACAGGCTATGTAACACAAGGGGCACACACACTAGGGGACACAGGTGGAAACTGAGTACCCAAAAGAGCCACAGATAGAATTAATTTTTTGTGTCAGAATGGGAACGGGAAAGCACTAGGAAGTAATGTGGCGACTCCACACACAAGTAACGAGGCTGACCCCCATACAATGTCACATGTAGACATGACAGAGCCCAACAGGCACAGGCACCTATACACCTGTTGATGGACGGTTGAGAGGCAGGACCAAGGAGCCAGAGCGCAACCCCCACAAGCACAACTAGGTGAGGACATATATTGTAAAAGCACAAGCCGCAGACTAGTGGCAGAGAGCACTACGCCGGCCAGGCAAAGAAGGCACAAAACTGCATCAAAAGGCCCACCTCGACAGCAAAACCACAAAGTCCCAGCACAACCACAACATGTGCCAAGACCCAAAAAGCTCAGTCTGCAAGCCAGAAAGACCCCGGAACCCCAAAAGGCAGAACCGGGTCACACGAGGAAACAAAGTCCCCTGAACCCACAAAAGGGGGCCCAAGAGGAAGAAACCTCCAGAACGAAACCAAGGAACCCAAAGGAACCCAGAATCGAACCAGGGAGAGCCCAACCACCACACTTGCCGGCGGAGAACACCACTGAAAGGCAAAGCACAGCCCCCAGCAGAACGCCCTGGGAAAACGGTCCCAACAGACCGAAAACCGAGGGGCAAGGTGTGGGAGCAAGCATACCAGCCAGGGGCACTGAGCCGAAACCCATAGGCTCAGACCCAAAATCAACACCCAAACGTTCCCAGAGGAACAGGCAACGGCAAGAAAACACCAGAAAACAAAGAAATGACAACAGGAGAACAAAAACCCTGAAAAATTTGAAAACTCACCAGAGACGCTCGCTCGCACACCCAGACGCATGTAAACAAACCGCAACGCCGCCCTGGTGGCCACGCCGTGAAACCGGCAGACGAAAATGGCCGCCAGCAGGGGCTGTGACTGACGCTAAATACACAAAAACACGCCAGCAAATGTGGGAAGCTAGCAGACTGGAAGGGCGAAAAACGCCGCCCAACAGCAGAAAAACCCCGGAAGGGGCAAAACCGCCCCAGAACTGCTAGCAGGCAACCCCCACAGCCCCGGGAACCAACAACAGAGGCCCCGGGGCAGAGCCGTCCTCCAAGCCCTCCGCCCTTAAAGAAAAGCAAGAGTCCATGGGAAAGGCAACAAGAAAGGGCCGCTGGTAAAACCCAGAAGCCTTGGCAGGAGGCACAGGCTCAAACCTCCGTCCCCAACCCAAACGGGGCAGCCCCCGAAAACCGCCCGAGTCTCTGCCGCAACTAAACCCCGCCCCGACCCCGAAACCCGCAGACAGTCCGGAGCCGGGAACATGGAGAGAAAGGGGCGAGCAGCACCTAACCAAACGGGGCAGCCACGGGGCATTCGAGTGGGAAACCAACCTAGCATGTTGCAGCAACCTAACCTAGCTTGCAACACGGATGCCGCCTGTACTCTGAACAGTAATAACATCAGGAGAGTACTGGAGAACAAGCAGAGAATCACTCGCAAGACTCCGGGTCAAGGTGTCAGTGACCCAACAGGCAGCATGACGGAGGTAAAAATGGCGACTGTCACCCGGAGACAAGGGAACAGCAACCAACGATCCCGCACAAGACGGGTTGGAACCCGGAAGACACATTCAATGGTCCCCCGAGCCCAGACAGGGGTTTCCAGGGCCCGTAGGGTAACAACTACGGGAAGCCCGGGCAAGGTGTTGCTAACCGGTTAAGAAACCCAAACATAAACAAGAGGGTAGAATATAGCACTGAAAACCCCTGAGACGTGTACAATCACGGGGGCCTAGCAGAAGGCCGCCAAACACTACCAGTGGAACTATAACCACCTTAAGCAGACCCCCACCAGACATGAAAAATTAAAAACAAAAGAAAAACCCTGCAAAAGTACACCGTCTCCAGAGGCAACAGAAACCGGCCGCCGCTTAGGTGGCAGGCTGTGCAACACCTTGACGCCCTAACCAGCACAATACCAATCCCTACCCAGGGCCAAACAAGGGCCCCAAGCCCCAGCTGGCCCCAAGGGCGAGGCAAATGCCGAGCAGCAAGAACCTCTACGGGAATGGTTCCCGAACGCCCCAGGGAAGATAACCCTGTAACGCAAGGGCAGTACTCATAGGGCGCTTAGGGAAGTCAGCCACTAAGCACATGCAGCCCCGGCACTGATGAAGTACTCCTGGCCACCGCACACCACAACACACGGCAGTGAACGCCACACAAGGCAAACACCGCCTAGGAAACTGAGGCCAGAGAAGCGTCAATCCCGGTTGACATTAGCGAACGAACTGGAGCTTGGCAGCCGGCGCGGTAGGTCCGGGGCTCCCCCCTCCCCCTCCCGGGGTGGGGAGGGCTGTGCGGACGATCGGCGCGGCAGTAAAGTGTGATGTTTGCTTGTTTGCTAGTTTCCTTGGGATTGTAGGGAGTTTTCTACCTCTCTGTTCGGTTTTTGTTGTAGTTTCTTACCATGTGGGGTTTGTTTTGTTACGCCTACCTTTCTGGGTGCCTAACCCCGGTCGATGGCAGATAAGGAAAACCCCCAACCATATGGGGTTTTCCAGGGCCATTGCTCCCTGAAACCTCTCTGAAGGGGCCAGGTTCTGGCGCTGGTCCCTGGTAGGTCTGAACTCCTTTAGCTAATGTCCCGGTCTAACATAACATACATTAGCCCGATAAGCTCCAGGGAGCCGTAGGGGCTCCCCACAGAAAAGCCAGGAAAAAGTGAAACACAAAAAAAAAAACTCCACAACAGCAAACAAGCAGAAATATTGACCATTGATAGCTGAAAAGTAGGCTGCATTAACCATAGTGCACCTCACCAGCCAACAACCACACCCCCTACTGAGGGCAAGGTGGAATACCCCACTTCGGACGTTCGGGATGTGATTCCCAAATGCCCCAGAGATGATGAGCTGAGAAACAAAGGGCAGTACTTCCAGAGCACCTTGGGAAGGTGGCTCTAGGTGCATGCTGCTCCAGTGCTCGAAACTCCTAGCAACATGCACACATCTGTTTTATAACACCGCCACAAGGGCAAAAACACCAGAGAAAACGGGAACAGAGCCAAAGCAACAATGACCACTCAGAACAATTACATCAGTCAGGAACTGAATGGGGGTGGCCTGACTTAACCAGGCCAGCTCCCACTGCGCCCTGTAGAAGAGAGGCGGGGTTAATTAAATCAAGTTTTGCTTGTTTGTTTGCTTTCTGGGGAAGTTCTTTTGCATTTGTGAGGACAAAGGTCGCACTTTTCAACCAAGCAGTAGTCTGTTTTGATTTGCCTACCTGCATGATGGGGTTCTGGGAGTTCTACTCTCGTATCCCGGCCAAAGGTCAGACTTTACTACGTTTCTGGGTACCTTCCCTGGTCGATGGCAAGATGACATACAGTACTTTACATGTTAAGTGTTCATGGGCCATTGCTCCCTTTGCCTCTCTGAGGGGGCCAGGTTCTGGCTTGTGATCCCCAGTAGGCTTACGAAGAACTCTGCGATGGATGACTCTCAAGTAGAATGGCATTTAATCAGAAAGACAGCCGACTATCTTTCGACTAAGGAAGCATCTGGGATCATCCCGGGCGTAAGTTCAAACCCTCATCACGGCCCTTGTGCATTTGTTCAGAAAGATAGCTTCAGGGAGCCGATGGGGTTACGTACAGAAAAAGCTTCAAAAATATAATCTCAATTTTAATTCTTCACAGTTCTTCAAATCTAGTTATTTTAATAATAAAAAAAACATGGATGTTAATTTTAATATAAATAGGGTTCTACATCAGTATTTTTTTTTTAACAAACAACCTACCCTAGTTTCTTGGTCGCCGATAAGACATACTGCTCGTAAGGAAGGACACCATCTCTTGAATTCATTCTCCCAGTTACGAAGAGTTGACTTAGGCACGATGACCATGTGTGGACCGGGAATATTACGGAAATGTTTCATGTATCTAGAAAGAACAGAGAATTTAACTATGAAAATGAGCAGAAATAAACACCTCTAAAAACATAACAGTAATAGCATCTATATGGTACAAAGCATTATCCTAGACAATAGATTTTAAATTTGTTCCCATATCCAATACACATACTCCATTGCTTACCTATTAGTGACTAAAGAGGAGTGAAATCAAGCTCTGTATGCCTTGCTTTCTAGCTGTTTATACCTGGCACGCAGATTATCCCCCTCAATATTAACATTTGCATTACATTTCTTTTGACAGCTCTGCTCCAGTGCCTGAATTGGGGGGTTCCCGGGGCTCAGGAGGTAGTCCACTTGGAGCAATTAGGCTCCGACTCTGCTTGGGCAATTGTGCCTTCTGGGCAAGGGTTATTGCTGGAGGGCGGAGATTTTCATAACCACCTTTCCTGTATGAGATAGAGTTGGGTGCGGCTTCCCTTTGGGTTCATTTCTGGGTGCCCTTGGACTCCTTGGATTTGTCCTTCCTGAGGTTTCATTCTTCTTGTTATTCCCCACCTGAGGTTCAGGAGGCCCTTGGTGCTTACCTCCTGCAAGACCCAGGCCGAATCCAGCAGAGCTAGAACCCGAAGCAACAGCTGGACCGGGGGGACGGGGAAGGTGCAGGTAACTTCACCTCGACAGTCTTACCGAAAAGCGTCTACCACGACGGCTTTGCAGTCGAGGAAGGGCGCCACATATATCAGGCGGCGCCTCATCCACGCCAACGCGAAGAGAGGTCCACCTCCAGGGATCCGAACGTCTGGCTAAAGAAGTCGGAGTCGACCGTCCATTACTTGGAATGGGGAAAGAACGTAGACAGGCCATCCACCAGGACATTGGTCACGCCCCTGATGTGAAACAGACAGAAATAAACCCCGAAAACTCAGAAGAGCCACTCAGAGCGACCAGCCCCAAAGAGCCAAGGATCGAAGACTCTCCTCGGTTCAGGCAACGAACCACTGTGGCGCAGTCCAAACGGAGCCGGATCGTAGAGCCTCGAGCGAACCGATTCCTCTGCAACGAAAGCCACACTGCCGCAAACTTCCACACCGTGCTGTGAGCCCGACAGAGCCCACTGCCCCTGGCCAGTCTGGTGAGCACTGGTCACAAAACCCCAGTCGAGAGACAAGGCGTCCGTGAATACATTGAGTGAGGGTTCTGGAAGGTGCCAAGGCATTGAACCCTGAAAAACCCGAAGAAGAATCCGCAGCAACCGACGCAAGGGCCCCAAGTGGACGAACCCAGTGATCGCGAGAGCAGTGGAAGGGACAGCCCCGAAGGAACCAGAATAGACACCAAAGCCAAACTCAACCCAACAGATAAACCAGCATGATGAAGTTCAAACTCTCAGCTGCTCGAGCAACCTCCGAGTGACCCGGGATTTCCTCAGGAACAGGAAGCTCTGCTCCAGTTCTAGGAGCTCTGCTCTAGGAATAAAGGTGGGACTTCAGCCGGAGCACTGCCGCAGGAGGGAGAGACATGAACGCTGTGCGAGAATCCCAGACAAGGCCCAGCCAAATCCGAACCTGGGACGGAACCAAATGGAACTTCCTCCAGTTCACTAGAAACCCGAACCCAGAGAGATGGGAAAGAACCAAACCCCTGGCAAGTAGACAAGTGGACTGGGTGGGAGCCCATACCAACCAGTCATCGCTGTAGGCCAAGAACTCAACACCTAGAACATCTAAAAAAGTGGATTTTCATGGTAATACTCCAAAATAAATCAGTGTATTTTGGAGGGTAATACTCCAAAATAAATACGTATACTGTACTCAATAAATAATTGTTTAACCAGAGATATGTTTGGTTAAAGTAGTACACCATGGTTGTACATGCTCATTTTAGCCATTTTATAGAGTTGTAATTACCCAAGTGTAGTTACAGGATGAGAGCTACGCTCACGGTGTCCCGTCTCCCCAGCATTCTTTGTCATATAACGAATTTGTGGACCTTCATACGGTGGTGTAAACTACACATAAATGTATAAAATCATTAAGACAAATGATTTAAAGTGATTTGAGTGTTTGTCTTGCATAAACAGTGAGAGAAGTGTGATGCCCCACTGACACCAGACTCCCTCACATACAGTAAACAAAACACCACATCAAGAAGACACACTGCAGTCGTACACGCTTAGTTTTAGCTGTTTTATATCCGTGGACCTTAGTATAGTGGTGTAAACTACACACAAAACTGATTAAATTGTTCACACACCATTTAAGTGCATGAAATTATAAAGAAATTGAGGTGGATTAGTGCTACTGGACCACAGCTGATGGAGCTCCCAGACACCATTATAACACCACTTTAACAACGGTAGTGAACACTACATACAGTGGCCCAACAAGAGAGTTAAGTTTTAGCTAAATAAGACAGAGCTCCAAACCTGCATATTACAAAACAAAATAAAGAAGGTTGGTGGTGTTTCTTGGGATTTGCATCCAAATTCCTTGTGCCACTAACCACATTTATTATAGGGGCAGTTATGCCCTGGGCTCATGAACACACCTCACGTAGTAAATTACTTTGCCACTTAATTAAAATTACTAACTAGGTAAATCAATATTTAACAAATATTTAATATATTGCAATTGCTTGAAGATAAATTTAAGTATACATTTGCAATAGATAAGTTCATAACAATAAAGAATTAAATAACCAATCTTGTCATTGTTTATAATATAATTCCTATGTGGGCAAGATATCAGAATTAAAAGGATAGGCTAAAATAATTTATAACCATATCAGTGCTAGTTGCATTATATATATATATTTTTATTTTTACCAAGTGGTAATTTTTATTCGACAGGTAGATATGAAAGCAGCACCATTCCTGTTGCAAAACCCTAAAACAGAACCACCAAGGGAGCAATGAGATAACAGTTACAGTCCACTACCCAACGAAGAAAGAATCAGTTTTCCTAGTTGGCACTGGATATTACTACTATCACTGTAATTACCTAAGTGTAGTTACAGGATGAGTTATGCTCGTGGTGTCCCGTCTTCCCAGCACTCTGTCGTATAACGCTTTGAAAGTACCGATGGTTTTGGCCTCTCCCCACCTGCTAACCTAACTTGTACCAACCGTCTACAACTCTGTGAAAGTGAATTCTCTTATATTACTTCGGCACCTTTGTTTAGTTAGTTTAAATCTATGACCTCTTGTTCTCGAAGTTCCAGATCTCGGGAAGTCTTCCATATCAATTTTATAGATTCCTGTTGCTATCTTGTACATAGTGATCATATTGCCTCTTTTTCTTCTATCTTCTAGTTTTGGCATATTTAATGCCACTAACCTCTCCTCATAGCTCTTGCCCTTCAGCTCTGGGAGCCACATAGTGGCATGTCTTTGCACCTTTTCCAGTTTGTTGATGTGCTTCTTAAGATATGGGCACCATACAACTGCTGCATATTCTAGCTTTGACCTACAAAAGTCGTGAACAATTTCTTTAGTATTTTGCCATCCATGTATTTAAAAGCAATTCTGAAGTTAGAAAGTGTAGCATAGGCTCCTCGCACAATGTTCTTTATGTGGTCCTCAGGTGATAGTTTTCCATTTAGAACCACCCCTAGCTCCCTTTCTTTGTTAGAAGTCTTTAAAGATTTTTCCACATAATTTATAGGTTGTGTGGGGTCTATGTTCTCCTATTCTACATTCCATAACATGGCATTTATGCACATTAAATTTCATTTGCCAAGTGGTGCTCCATATACTTATTTTGTCCAGGTCTTTTTGAAGGGCATTACAATCATTCTAGTATTGCAGACGATGAGTCACAATAACGTGGCTAAAGTATGTTGACCAGACCACACACTAGAATGTGAAGGGACGACGACGTTTCGGTCCGTCCTGGACCATTCTCAAGTCGATTGTGATTTTTCCTCATCACAATCGACTTGAGAATGATCCAGGACGGACCAAAACGTCATCGTCCCTTCACATTCTAGTGTGTGGTCTGGTCAACATTCTAATATTGGTGTGGCTGTATACCTCTACAGCCACATCAATCCTATAATGCCACAGCAGCACCAGTATGCCGCCACAACTGCACCACTACCTGTATGGCACAGCAGCACCAGTATGCCGCCACAACTGCACCACTACCTGTATACCACAGCAGCACCAGTATGCTGCCACACCTGCACCACTACCTGTATACCACAGCAGCACCAGTATGCCACCACAACTGCACCACTACCTGTATACCACAGCAGCACCAGTATGCTGCCACACCTGCACCACTACCTGTATACCACAGCAGCACCAGTATGCTGCCACAACTGCACCACTACCTGTATACCACAGCAGCACCAGTATGCCACCACAACTGCACCACTACCTGTATACCACAGCAGCACCAGTATGCTGCCACAACTGCACCACTACCTGTATACCACAGCAGCACCAGTATGCTGCCACAACTGCACCACTACCTGTATACCACAGCAGCACCAGTATGCTGCCACAACTGCACCACTACCTGTATACCACAGCAGCACCAGTATGCTGCCACAACTGCACCACTACCTGTATACCACAGCAGCACCAGTATGCTGCCACAACTGCACCACTACCTGTATACCACAGCAGCACCAGTATGCTGCCACAACTGCACCACTACCTGTATACCACAGCAGCACCAGTATGCTGCCACAACTGCACCACTACCTGTATACCACAGCAGCACAGTATGCTGCCACAACTGCACCACTACCTGTATACCACAGCAGCACCAGTATGCTGCCACAACTGCACCACTCCCTGTATGCCACAGCAGCACCAGTATGCTGCCACAACTGCACCACTACCTGTATACCACAGCAGCACCAGTATGCCGCCAGAACTGCACCACTACCTGTATACCACAGCAGCACCAGTATGCCACCACAACTGCACCACCACTACCTGTATGCCTTAAGCATAGCAAGAAAATATCACCAAGAGGATACTCAGAATAAGTATGATAATAAATTACAGTAATTATTTTTCAACTTAGCTTCAACACACTGAACAATAAAGCAACTTCATTTACCTTTTGGAATTATATACAAAGAAAGTATAGAAAGTAGAAGCTTACATTGTATCTAAAGCATTGTTTCCATTTGAAAAGTAAAACAAAAAAAAACAAAAAAAATCAATATTTTATATATTATATTATATTATATTATATATATATATATATATATATATATATATATATATATATATATATATATATATATATATATATATATATATATATATATATATATTATATATATATATATATATATAAAATTTAGTCAAATTTCATAGCCTCTTACCCAAGGAGAGATATAGTCTGTAGTGTTTTACCAAGACCCATCTCATCTGCAAGAATACCGTTTATCCCATTTTCATACAAATCTATCATCCAATTGAGGCCTCTAATTTGATAGTCTCTCATCTCGCCATTGGTGATGTAACTGGGGCTCTCCTCGAACCGGGTTATAATCTTTGATGATTTATTGGATTCAGCTAGTAATTCCTCGTCCTCTTCGTGCTCTCTCATGCGATGGCGATGGCTAAGGAAGCAGAGGGAAAATAATCAACTTTTGCATCACAACTTAAATTCTCACATGTAATGCACTCAAAATATAAACCTGGTTTTTCAACTAAGTAAATTCGCAAGATCAACCTGTTACTAAAGGAAATTGCCATTAAATTATCTACATTTTTCATACTACAAATCACTAAATAAGCCTGGATAAAGACCTAAAATTAATAATCATTTATAAAATACAGTGGTACCTTCGTTTTCTAATTTAATCCTTTCCCAGAGACGGTTAAAAAACCAGAACGAATTTTCCCATAAAAAAAAATGTATATTGAATTAATCCATTCCATATCCCCCAAAAAACCAGCATTGAATGTAATGAAACGCCATTTTCTGGGCGAGACCCATTGGCTCCCCGGAGCTATCCAGGCTGATATGCTAATGTCAGACTTTGGCATCAGTTATGTGTATGGAGACCTGAAGACCTACCGGGGACCATGAGCCAGAACTTGGCCCCCTCAAAAGAGGCACGAGGACCAATGGTCTATAGAAACCCCGGTGTGGTTGGAAGCACTCTTTGTCTGCCATCGACCGGATCAGGCACCCAGAAAGGTAAGCGTCCCAAAACAAACCCCTATTCTGGTGAAAATTGCTACAAAAAGCAGAACAAGTGGATAGAACTCCCCGAACAGAAACGAGCAAACTAGTATGACATCTCATGTTGCCGCGCTGCTGACTACGCAGCTCCCCCCTCCCCAGGAGGGGGAAGGGGAAGCCCCAAACACCCGCGCCGGCAATCCATCTTTCAGTTCTGAGGCTGGACATCAAAACACATGAAAAACTGCCGACCGGGAAGGGGGAGGGGGGTTGCCGGGGAGCCTCGCCCAGAAAATGGCATTTCATTACATTCAGCGCTGGTTTTCTGTCGGCTCCCTGGAGCTACCTACCCAAAGACGAAAACAAGAGGGACCTAACCCGGGAGGCAGAAGTCGCTTACACCCCAATGCGAAGCAGAGACAAAAGTGCAACTGCCAACCCAAGGCCACACAGGCCCGACAAGGCCCAGGAACATCAACGAAGGAACGCAGAGTCAACCAACGAACAACGTAGGCACGGGGACAGACAGCAGGCTGGCAGGACCAAACCACCCCCTCTGACGACCCAAGAGAACCACATCCTGGAACAGGGAAGAAGGGAACCCGGAACAACCCAAAACATGACCCCGGTCACGGCAGCCGCAGCACACCAAGCACGGCGAATTGCCGCAACCGAACACAACACATGATGCACCCCCGGCCAGACCAACCAAGCATCAAACAACCCAAGGACCCCTCTGGAAAGCAGCCAAGCCAGTCGTCACCAGAAAAGAAGGAGACAGCTGCAAGCGCACAAATCTATCAAGAGAACCAAAAGAGCCGAAACCCAGGAGCCAGAGGAGGGCACGAAGCACTCCGGCCTGACCCCCAAAAGCCAACGCCAACAAGAAGAGATCCTCTGAAACAACTCAGAACCGAAGGGGCCACAATAAACCGAGGAGAAGAGAAAGGAGCACGCAATCCAAGAACTAGGACGGCTCAAGCGGTGCAAGAGCAGGCCGGAGGTGAACCAAGCCAGAGATGGCTTGCAAAGCGGTGCAGAGGCAACTCCAAAGCCGAAGCAACCCGGAACGGCTCTGCCAGCGCCGCTCAAGATAAGGCGACAGTATGTGGCAAGATTACGGCCCCAAACCTCCACAAGAGAAGGACAAGACAACACCAACAAAGCGCAGCAAACCTAAGAAGGGACAGAAAGAAAATGGAAGGACCGCCAAAAAACCCCACACCGCCGCCAAGAAGAAGCACGCAGGTGGGACACCATCAATGAAGTCACCTGACCACCAACAGATGGCGAGAGACTCGAGGCAGAACCGAACCAGCCCCGCCATGGACCGATCGAGCCTAGGAAGAGGCGGAGCCATGGGAAGATCTCGGGTGCGATCACCGAGCAAGAAGAGCCGGAAACCCAAGCCGGCAAGGAAGTAGATGGAACATCTGCCATAAAGAAAACTCCCCAACACCAGCGAGCTCACCAGGAGATCAGAGACTCTAAGGTTCTGAAGCGAGTCTCTCGAGAAGGGACACCGCAAGACCTCGAAAATGCCAACTGGTAGGGTAAGCCAGGAACCCAAACCTGGTAATAGGAGAGCCAAAAGGCAGATACAAAACATACAAGAATGAGTAGGATAAAATAAGAAAAACAAAAATGCAAGAAAAAGACCAGAACAACAACCCCACACCAGCAGCTAGGGACAAAAGCACAGAAGGAAGGTCAGGAACGAAGAAAGCTGGCAGCAAACGGGAACGAAAGGGAAACGACCAACAACACACGAAGCTGCTGGTCATGTCCCAACAAGTCACGCCAACAACACAGAGTTGTTGGTCACGTCTCAACACAACAAGACTTAACTGGAAAAGGTGCAAAGGTTTGCCACTAGACTAGCACCCGAACCGAGGGGTATAAGCTACGAGGAGAGACGACGGGAATGAAACCTCACGTCACTGGGAAACAGAAGAGGTAGAGGGCACCACATACAACATTCTCAGAGGAATTGATAGGGTAGATAAAGACGGACTAATTACACAAGGGGCACACACGCTAGGAAACACAGGTGGAAAGCGAGGGCCCAAATGAGCCATAAGACGTTAGACAGAAGGATGCCAGTGTCAGTATGTAGTAGACAAACGGCATGCTAGAGGAAGTGACGTGGCGGAGGCCGACTCCATACGCAGCCTTAAGTGTAAATTTGATAGAGGTCAGTAGGCTCAGGAACCCCTACATGAGCCAATTGACAGGTGAGAGGGGGGACCAGAGCCAAAGCTCAACCCCAGCAAGCACAAATAGGTGAGGACAACTAGGCGAGTACAGAGAATCCAATGTATATGGAAGAGCTAAGCCAGGCACTGCAAGACAGGCAAGGAAAGAGTGATCCAGTCATGACCAAGAAAAAGAGGGCCGTGACCCACTGTGTAACAAACAAGACAGACGAACAAGGAAGGCCCCAGGAAGAAGCACGCAAGGGCCAAACAAAATGCCACAACCAATCACCAACACGCATCCCCAGTATCAAAACAGCAGCAAAATGTCACCTCATAACATCCTGGCACAGTGTAACAATTACCTCAGAACACTGATCTCCACCAGTTTACCCCATACCATGGCGAAGGTGGGGCCCCTTGACCGACTCAAGCATGGGTTGGACATGTATATGAGAGGGACTGGATGGGTAGAAATAGGAGCTGCCTCGTATAGGCCAATAGGCCTTCTGCAGTCACCTTTGTTCTCATGTTCTTGTATTCGTATCCAAAAACCACGAACCAGCGCCTGGCCGAAAGAGACACCAGATCGCATAAACTCACCTGCAGAACATAGGCACGAATGTGTCACGACACAATGTAGCCAAGAAGAGTCCGGGAGCACCGCCAGTGGAAGAAGGCTAGAGCCGCACATGCAGAAGAGTAGGGTAGAGGCGAATGAGGCGCCCCACACCCATAAGCAGGAAAACCCCTGCGTCCTCCCCACAGCGGCAATCCAGAACACCCCCAGGAGCTACAGGGCATGGACTGGAGAGATGAGAGGAGCGAGAGGCGAAGTACCCGAGAAAAAAAAGGACGCAGAACACCAGCACTTATGTATACTGCCCATAACCAAAACAAACTCCCATGGCACATGCGCAGGACACGAGGTCCGAACCGCTCAACCCGCTTGGCAGGAAGGCGCCAACTAGGAATATGGAAAGAAAACGAGCAGTGCCGAGATAGAGCACGGAGAGAAGATACAATTAAAAAAGAACGAGACAGGACCGAAAACCAAGAAGAAGCACGGAAGAGGACCAACAAGCCCTAGAAAGGACTGGAGGGGAGCCACACCGGAAGATGACAGACATTCCAATAATACAGGAAGAAGCGAAAACCTTCCCGAACCTTTGAGAACACACAGAAGCAAGCATAAATCACGAAGGCACATAAAGGCACAGTCGCACCCGAGACCAAAAGTCATGCGGAACCCCGAGAAAAGGGGAACATGACGGAGAAGTCCCGTCCCAAGAAAGAATGGCGAGTAAACGGAGAAGAGTACCCACTGACAGGAAGAAACCGACGGACCCCTGGGACAAGGAACCCAGGGGTCCGATCCCGGGAAGTGGCCGATGCCCAACAACTCGTACGTAGAGGGGAAAAAGGAAAAACCCCACTCCCCGTAACAGCAAGCCCCGCTCAGAGGGAAGAAAAAGCCCTGTTTTTTTTTCAGAAAGCCCCTAAAAATGCCCCAGAGGGCCAACGGGGCCCAAGGTCCCCCCCCCAAGTCAGCCCCTCTCCAGCCCCAGGAACCCACACGGCAGACCCCGGGGCCAAGCTGTCCCCTCAAAGCCCCAGCCTCACAAGAAAAATCCAGGGCAGCCAGAAAAGTACTAAGGAAGGGAGCCCACTGGCAGACTCACACAACACGGCTGGAGGAACAGGCTCGAATGCCGTTGCTACCCCGGAAGGGGAATTCCCCGAGACCGCCCGAGTCTCGGGACCATCGAAGCCCCGACCCCGAACCCACAGGCGGTGAGGATCCAGATGCAGGGAGGAAGGGGGGGGGGGGACCAGACTAGACCACAACAACCAAAAACGGGGCAGCCTCTGGGCTTCCGGGGGAGCAAACAACCTAGTGCGTTGCCACCACCTGAACTCAACGTGCAACGCCTGTGCTGCCTGCACGGGCATAGTCAGCATAAGACTGAGTAACCGAGCCACAAACAAGCAACAAAACTTGCAGGACTCCAGGCCGAAGGTGTTACCGACCCCACAGGCAGCAGACGGAGGCAAAAACAATGAGTCACCCTGAGACAAGGGGACAGAGCAACCCTTGAACTTGCACAATGCGAGGGGGGGACTCCGGGGTCACATCCATCGGACCCACGCGTCCCCGTGGGAATTCCAAGGGTCCTGAGACGGAACTCACGCTCAGGGAAGCCCAGGCAGGGTACTGCTAACCGGTGCCCAAGTCTGCCAAACAACTTTCTAAGAACTGAACCCCTGGGACGTGTACATTCACGGGGACCTAGCAGGGAGAACCACCGGAAGAAGGAAGAGTACTCAGTACATACAAGGGGGGGGGCCAAGAACCAAGGCAGACCCCCCACCAGGCAGGCAAACAAAAAGAAAAAGAAAACCCCGCAAGAGGACAGTGTGCCCAGGCGGAACAGAGCCGGCTGCTATGACAGGTGAAAAACTGTGCAGTACCCTGCACCCCTACCAGTACAAACTGTCCCCTACCCAAAGGCGAACAAGGGAGACAGAACACCCTAGCACACAAAGGGCGGCTGAAAACCAAGTAGTAAACAGCCTAGCAGAGGCAGAACCCAAGGAACGTGTGGAAGGTGGCCCCAAGTCCCAAGGGCAGTACTTACAGGGCACCTAGGGAAGGAAGCCCTAGGCGTATGCAGCCCAAGTACTGGAGAATCACTCCTGGCTCAGTGCTGAAACAACCACTGGAGCCAGAGCACATGACCAGTGCCTATAGCATCAGCCTCAGAAATGAGAGGTGGACTGCCGATCTGGGGCTCCCCCTTTCCCCTCCCGGGGAGGGGGAAGCTGCGCAGACAGCGGCTCGGCAACGTGAGATGTCATACTAGTTTGCTCGTTTCTGTTTGGGGAGTTCTATCCACTTGTTCGGCTTTTTGTAGCAATTTTCACCAGAATAGGGGGTTTGTTTTGGGACGCTTACCTTTCTGGGTGCCTGATCCGGTCGATGGGAGACAAAGAATGCTTCCAATCACACGGGGGTTTCTATAGGCCATTGCTCCTCGTGCCTCTTCTGAGGGGGCCAGGTATGGATGTATGTATGTGTACATATATATATATATATAATTATGTATGTATGTATGTGTACATATATATATATATATAATTATATATATAATTATATATATATGTATATTAAATATGCACACACACCCTAGCAACTAAACTAGGCCAGTTTAACTGGACTATCAAATTGGCCAACAACTGGGTCATAATGATAACCCCTGAATGTTTCAACAGTTCAAACACCAGGAAGATTTACCACTACAGCTGTCCAAGGGGGGGACACAATACCAGAAGGGTCTAAACACTACAGCTGTCCAAGGGGGACAATACCAGAAGGGGGCTGTCCAAGGGGGACAATACCAGAAGGGTCTAAACACTACAACTGTCCAAGGGGGGGACAATACCAGAAGGGTCTAAACACTACAACTGTCCAAGGGGGGGACAATACCAGAAAGGTCTAAACACTACAACTGTCCAAGGGGGGGACAATACCAGAAGGGTCTAAACACTACAACTGTCCAAGGGGGGGGACAATACCAGAAGGGTCTAAACACTATAACTGTCCAAGGGGGGGACAATACCAGAAGGTCTAAACACTACAACTGTCCAAGGGGGGGGACAATACCAGAAAGGTCTAAACACTACAACTGTCCAAGGGGGGGGGACAATACCAGAAGGGTCTAAACACTACAACTGTCCAAGGGGGGGACACAATACCAGAAGGGTCTAAACACTACAACTGTCCAAGGGTGGACAATACCAGAAGGGTCTAAACACTACAACTGTCCAAGGGGGGGACAATACCAGAAGGGTCTAAACACTACAACTGTCCAAGGGGGGGACAATACCAGAAGGGTCTAAACACTACAACTGTCCAAGGGGGGGGGACAATACCAGAAGGGTCTAAACACTATAACTGTCCAAGGGGTGGACAATACCAGAAGGGTCTAAACACTACAACTGTCCAAGGGGGGGACAATACCAGAAGGGTCTAAACACTACAACTGTCCAAGGGGGGGACAATACCAGAAGGGTCTAAACACTACAACTGTCCAAGGGGGGGACAATACCAGAAGGGTCTAAACACTACAACTGTCCAAGGGGGGACACAATACCAGAAGGGTCTAAACACTACAACTGTCCAAGGGGGGGGACAATACCAGAAGGGTCTAAACACTACAACTGTCCAAGGGGGGGACAATACCAGAAGGGTCTAAACACTACAACTGTCCAAGGGGGGGACAATACCAGAAGGGTCTAAACACTACAACTGTCCAAGGGGGGACAATACCAGGAGGATCTAAACACAACAGGTATCCCATGAGGCCCAAGAAGTCATAATAATACTTTTACCATTAATCATTAACCCTTAGACAGTGGGCATCGCCATTTGTTGATTCACAGGGTAATGCGGCTATCATATTAAGATTTAAACAATTATTGTTTGGGTTTTACAGGTATGATGCAAATATGGATATAGAAGCTCTCTGTGGATGTAAATTAAGAAAAACAAGTGATAAAACAATCAGTGAAACAGAGAATAAATCAGGAAGTGTCAGCAAAATCGAGCACCAGTCACTGACAAGTGCCGGACGCACAGTTACACACCACCTACACCCACTCAAATGATAACTATTCACCTATTTTCATGTTTCTCTTATATTCTGCATACAAATTAATAATCCTATAATGAAAAACTATCTTCTGTAATTTTTTATTTTTTGTTGTGCATGTGCGAGCAAGATTCTTTCTCCATAGCCACTGTTTAAGGGTTAATGGATCACATAATTATTACACTAAGTATTGTACTGCAATTCCCTCATTGTAAATATAACAGTTATAACTGACCATTAACTCCTAATTTTCATCTCGCTGATAAACATGAAAACTGGAATTTGACAAAAAATTTCAAAATACATATAAAAATAAAAAAAAGTAAAGAATAATGTAACAGTGAAATAGTACTCAGCATAAATACTTTGAGTGAAACTTAATATCTGGAAGCTGTGGGACATGCTATAACCAAAGACACATCTACATCATACAAGAATACACCAGAATAGTCTACATCAGCTTCATCTACCATACAGTCTTTTTATAGTGCCTATATACATTGAATAAAAAAAAAGAATACTGTATTGAAAATAATTTAAGTTGAGATCCTGCTGCACACTACCACTGGGGTGTGTATGTACCAACACATTCAAGTTTAATACGTGAATTGCCTAAATACTGAAAACACATTATTCCATTTAAAAGTAAATGGAATAAATGGGCCTCAACAGCACTTTCAGTTAACAGAGAATACATCTCCATCTTCCCGGCTCCGTATCTATGTTCTACAACCATTCCAAGAGAGAGAGAGAGAGATTTCCACCACCAGGTAAACACATGCTCCTGGACAAAGATTTTCAATTAGCCAAAAAAAAAGAGAGAGAAATATCAATCAGGAGTTGACTATGGCAATTCCTTTCTACCTTGCATATTAGGAAAAGGTGAGGTGACTTACTCAGGGTCTGTGGCTCTTAACTTCTTCATGCGGCTAGAAAGAGAAAGCAAAAATAAAATAAAATAATGCCACTTTGCCAATGAGATTCAAAAGCAATGGCAGTTTCAGGATGTCTTCCCATTTCAGATATTAATAAGAAAAATTTATATTACATAACCATTTCCCTGTAAACTTCTCAATATAAACATTTATTTTGTTTTGACCAAGGTTATGTAAATTATCAAACTATGGCTCAATGTTTAAAGTAATATTTACAAATAATATTTTTTGAAAGAAAGGGCAATACCTGTATTATCTTTTTATCGAATGGCCGAGACTCGTTGACTAATACATCAGTATCATGTCATCTAATGCATCAGTATCATGTCACCTAATGCACCAGAATCATGTCACCTAATGCACCAGAATCATGTCATCTAATGCACCAGTATCATGTCATCTAATGCACCAGTATCATGTCATCTAATGCATCAGTATCATGTCATCTAATGCATCAGTATCATGTCATCTAATGCATCAGTATCATGTCATCTAATGCATCAGTATCATGTCATCTAATGCATCAGTATCATGTCATCTAATGCATCAGTATCATTTCACCTAATGCACCGGTATCATACCATCTAATGCATCAGTATCATTTCACCTAATGCATCAGTATCATTTCACCTAATGCACCGGTACAATTTCCCCTAATGTGCCGGTATCATTTCACCTAATGCACCGGTATCATTTCACCTAATGTGCTGGTATCATTTCACCTAATGTGCCGGTATCATTTCACCTAATGCGCCGGTATCATTTCACCTAATGCGCCGGTATCATTTCACCTAATGTGCCGGTATCATTTCACCTAATGTGCCGGTATCATTTCACCTAATGTGCCGGTATCATTTCACCTAATGTGCCGGTATCATTTCACCTAATGTGCCGGTATCATTTCACCTAATGCACCGGTATCATTTCACCTAATGTGCCGGTATCATTTCACCTAATGTGCCGGTATCATTTCACCTAATGCTGGGTTCCTAAACTTGTCTCAGCAGATCCTCTGACAACTTCCCCATGATACTGAATGTTAATGTATGAACACTAATTCAGTGTAAAATGGTACTACTAATATAATGTCAACAGTTTAATAAAACTAGTGAAAGAATAATAGTGATATTTGGTAAGCATTAAGAATGTTTTAACCCTGACAACCCATTTTAAGTTTCCGTATGAAGGATGTGTATGTTTTGTGAAGTCAACTTATCAATTCACATGAATACTTGAAGATCGTGCTCCACATTAAGTCTGGTCCAGTGTTTAGTTTTCCCGTTCAACAGTGGAAAAAACTCACATAGTTAAGCACTAGGGAAAACCAACACAAACCCTCACAGCAACATCAACTGGAGCCGTTAGTCTCATTCATTTCAGACCACAACTTGGTCACGGGAAGTGTTTCTAATACAGCATTTACAAAAACGTAATTCACCAACTTAAGGTATGTTATGTCATCTGCCATAAATAAGATTGGAACGTCATCTGCAGATAAGAGATTTGCCTGCACTAGTTGCACCATTTGATGGGTTCTAGTACCCTTGCTATTGTCATTATCTTTGAACAGCCCTTCCCATGACTCATTTCATGCAGAATGATCTCGGTTTGTCCTTAAAAATCAACCACTGTAGTGAACCGACCTATAACAGATAAGTTCATTGGGTTTAAACATGAGAATATATCGTTCAAGCCCTGAACCTGTGTTGTGGTGATTCCCAGACACACATCTTAACCCAATCAACCATTATAGGACAAAAGCCAACCAAACCTGAACTCTACTGAATTCACTGGGAGGTTCTGGAAACCTTAACTCGTGCCTAACCAGGATTTTACAATTGGCCCAACTACACTCTGGCCTGTAGGTAATGGTGTTCACACCCTTATGCCCCTCCTTCAGATCACAAAGTAATCACAATGGTGTGACATACCAATGAGAAAATCATTTTGGGGGCAATGAAAGAACCCTAAATGTGGCCAAATTCAAATTCATCCAAATTCCAAGGAATGCTAACCTCCTTTAGCTTTAAAACAGAATTGTGGTCCTTGCAGAGACAGGAGTTCTCTGCTTAATACCAGACAAGCAAGTGAGCTGGATGGACATGGTATAACCCGGGGGTGACCTAAGCTGCTATCTGCTGGCATTTTAGGGATACTGGCACTTTGATGCAGGAGAACTACCACAAACTTGGAAGGCACCCAATGACGTGCCAATATACAAAATGAAACAACATGGGTCCAAAAGCTGCAAATCTCATCTTAAAAAATTGATAAAATTCTGCAAAAAACCAGCGTTGAATGTAATGAAACGCCATTTTCTGGGTGAGACCCAGAGGCTCCCCGGAGCTTTACCGGCCGATATGCTAATGTCAGATTTTGGCATCAGTCATGTGTATGGAGTTCTAGGGCCTACCGGGGACCACGAGCCAGAACCTGGCCCCCTCAGAGAGGCAAGGGGAGCAATGGCCTATAGAAACCCCCGTGTAGTTGGAAGCATTCTATGTCTGCCATCGACCGGGTCAAGCATCCAGAAAGGTAAGCATTCCAAAACAAACCCCTATTCTGGTGAAAATTGCTACCTAAGCCGAACTAGTGGAAAGAACTCTTCAACAGAAAACAAGGAAACTAGTATGATGTCATACGTCACCGCGCCGCTGTCTGCGCAGCTCCCCCCTCCCCGGGAGGGGGAAGGGGGAGCCCCAGACCTCCCACACCGGCTATCCACCCATCAGTTCTGAGGCTGGATGTCAAAACACGCGAAAAACGCCGACCGGAGGGAGGGAGGGTTGCCGGGGAGCCTCCGGGTCTCACCCAGAAAATGGCGTTTCATTACATTCAACGCTGGTTTTCTGGGGGGAGCCCCGTCGGCTCCCCGGAGCTAACTACCCACAGAGGAAGATCAAAGGGACAGAACCGGGAGGCTGACACCACGCACCCCCCAAGGAGGCGAGACAACCAGCAGCAAACGCCAACCCAAGGCGCCACAGCCCCGAAAATCCCGGGAACAACACGAGAACCACGAGCAGCAAGGCCCCTGCACGAACACCAAAAATCCATGCCCGAAAGACCGCAAGGCCACGTCGCCCAGACGGCAGCGAGAGCAGCGAAGCCACGAACGCCACAGGCATGAGGGAAGAACACAGGCAGCTTAGCCGCAAGAACACGGCTGACCACCCGGGACACTATTACCCGCGAACCGGGAAGAACAGAACCGGATCAATGCAAAACGCGCTCCGGACCCAAACGCCGTGGCACGCAAACAACAGCGGAGGGCCGCCACTGAACACAAAAACGACACACCCCCGGCCCGACCAACAAAGCACCAACAAACTCTGGACCCCTCCAGAATGCAGCAGCCCCACCCCGCGCCAGAAAAGATGGAGACTGCTGCCACCAAACAACCAAAACGCTAAAACCGAAGGAGCAAGAAAACTCAGCGACTCGACCCCCAGAGGCAAAGGCCCAAAGGAAAGAGCCGACGAAAAAACACACCGGAACCGAAGGGGCACTACCAACCGAGGAGAAGACAAAGCACGCTGACCAGAGACCAGGATGGTGCAAGCGGCGCACGAACAGGCCGGAGGTGAAACGACGCACAAGACAGCTGACTAACGGTGCAGAAGCAACACCAAGACCGAAAGCAAGCTGAAGCGGCTCCGCCTGCGCCGCACGAAAAGAGGCGACAGTATGTGGCAAGACGACGGCCCCCAACCCCCACTAGAAAACCAAGCCGAGAGTAAACCAAGCTAACAAGAGTAACCACCTAAGAAGGGACAGGAAAAGGAAGGACCGCCAAAATACCCCATACTGCCGCCAAGAGAAGCACGCAGGTGGGACACCTACCACGAAGCCACCCGACCACCAACCGGGGGCGAGACCACGAGGCAGAACATAAGCAGCCCCGACAAGGCCCCTCCGAGCCCAGGAAAAAGGCGGAGCCGCGAGAAGATCTCGGGCGCGACCACCGAAACCCAGGCGGCACAAGGAGATGGAACGTCTGCCGAACAGAAAAACTCCCCAAAGCATGCAAGCCCGCCAGGAGTTCAGAAACGACGGGTCCGACGCGAGACATCGCAAGACCCCCCCCCAAAAAAAAAAAAAAAAAAAAAAAAAAAAAAAAAAAAAAAAACGGCAGGGCAAGCTAGGAAACCAAAGAAGGCGGAAGGGTCGCCGCCAGAACAGGACCCGAACCAAGGGGCACGAACAACTGCAATAGACCGAGACAAAGAAGCACATCACAGGACACAGGCTGACCAACGCCTAAGAACACACGCAGAACATCCCTGCTGCAGAGGAGGCAGGAAGAAAGAGCAGAAGCACAAAAAAACCCAGGAGAACAACCAGGGGTGGACAAGCAGGCAGGGACAAAAACCCCACGCAATCCCCAGGCACAAAACGGCAGCAAAGTGCCACTCCACAACCGGACACAGGAACAAGGACACGCCACCGTGAAACACGGTACCAATGCACACGTGCAGCAGCAGCAACAGGCACCACTGCAACACGTAAATAGCAACTCCCCTCTGCAAAGGCAGAGAACGGAGCAGGCAGACCCCAGACAGGGCCAACGGAGACACGACAAAACCCTGCAGGCCCAGAAACCTGCACCAGGCGACTGACGGCGGAGAAACCCCGCTCGATACCTGCTGGATGAGGTACTGGGAGCTCTTTTACACCTGAAGCCCGGCCCAAGGTCAGGCTAGACCGGCCAGAGGATGGCCCACCAGGCAGCTACTAGGAGCAGTCCACCGGCCCACATACCCCCACAACCAGGACGGGCCGGAACTGCCATACGAAAACAGGCCAGTGCGCCCTGGAAGTCCACGGACGAACCAGCAAGAAGGTTTATACTCGCAAGTAGGTACTCGGGCTGCATTCCCCTCCCGGGGAGGGGGGAGCTGCGCAGATAGCGGCGCGGTGACGTATGAAGTCATACTAGTTTCCTTGTTTTCTGTTGAAGAGTTCTATCCACTAGTTCGGCTTAGGTAGCAATTTTCACCAGAATAGGGGTTTGTTTTGGAATGCTTACCTTTCTGGATGCTTGACCCAGTCGATGGCAGACATAGAATGCTTCCAACCACACGGGGGTTTCTATAGGCCATTGCTCCCCTTGCCTCTCTGAGGGGGCCAGGTTCTGGCTCGTGGTCCCCGGTAGGCCCTAGAACTCCATACACATGACTGATGCCAAAGTCTGACATTAGCATATCAGCCGGTAAAGCTCCGGGGAGCCGACGGGGCTCCCCCCAGAAAAGTGACAAACATCAGACAAGACAAAAGTCTGGGCAGACTGCATAGCCTATTTCAGGATTACCAAAATATTTTTGACAGTACTTGGTAGGGCACTGGTACACAGCCTGGAAAAACAAGGAGATTGAAATGGTGCTTCAGTGGATAAGAAAATACCTAAGCAAATACCAGCTGGGTTCCACAAGGACTAGAATCTAGCTTTTTTTTTTAATCTATATACAATGCAACCTCATTTTGCCAATATCTCCAGATGTAATGCACACTTTCCAGGCACTACTTACTCACCAACTTCACCGAACAAGTGTTTGGCGAGATGGGGGATGTGCAAATTTGCTTTGAAAGCAAAAAGCCAGATAGGTTAAAATGTAAATTTTGCTCAGTGAAACTGCCCTATGAATTTAGCCCACTTAGCCTGGGAAATATTTTTATATGAGTGGTCAGTTATAATTTATTGCTTGAATCACATTTTTAAAAAATTTCATATATAAATGAAACATTAGGAGAGACAGGCATGGCAATGTACTTTCATTGTCTGAAAAATATTGTATCATAAATACCTCTTGAAAGCATTTCCAGTTGCTACGAATCCCTCACTCCAATGAATTGGGGGCTGATCCCATACAGTTTGCCGTATTGAGGTTGTACTGCACATTACGTCATCTATAGTGGATAGATTTCTACTTCCCATTTTTGTGGATAACTAAAAAATTGTGACCAACACAGTGGATGACAGCAGAAGAAAGTACAGGAAGACCTGGACAAAAAAGAATAGCCATACAAGTGGCTACAAAAATTAACAAGCAAGTGCATAATAATACAGCAGAGTGTGAGAACACTGATCACTCGCTAGGAAATGTTTCTGGAATTGGATAAAGAAAAAATACCTGGGGTTTAATATCATACCAAAGAGATAGCATCAGCTGACTGCAAATTTGGCCTACAAAAGAAATGCTTTCAGGAATCCAAATAAGGAGTTATTCAGGATCTTGTATACCACATATGTCATATAAGCCCCAGAGGTATGTCACTAGCTAGTAGCAGGGTTCAAAGTTATGAGTTAATAGGAAAGACTTAAAGGAATTAAACCTTAAGTCTCAAGTGGTAAAATATAAAGATGGGGAGGGAGGTAAAACTAAGTACAGTACCTGAATAAGCCATATGCATTAGAATTAATTTTTTTTTTTCCAGTGACAGTAGTGAACAAATGAAATGCACCAAGAAACTTAGTAGAGAAAGGACTCTGTCCATAGCTTCAAATGTAGATATGACAACCCAACAGGTTTAGCAACCTGTGCACCAGTCAACTGAATATTGAGAGGCAAGACCAAAGAGCTGATGTTAAACTCCAGCAAAACTTACTAGCTGAATACTCACTCGCCAATCATCGAAGACTTGTGGTTGTCTGATTTCTTTGGGCGGCCAGGTTTACACTTCAGGGGAGAAGATGGGGTCTTATCTCTGGCACCAACCATGAAATGAGAGAAGATCTCTGTTTGCTTGAGAAGATAGTCAAACCTCTTTGACCGATCGGTTTCCATTTTGTTCTCATACTCTCCACCCGCATGGCTAGACGATGTTGTCTCCGCTGACGATGAATCATTCTGCAACAATGTATCAAACTAAACAAATAGTTAAAGATATACAGGAATGTTGTGATATAGGTATAAATTACATTCCAATTAAACAAAATCTAGCACTGAATTTCTGGTCATTCCACAGTAGCTCCCCCGATGCTACAACCTGGAAATGTCAAGCCTTGTAATGCACACCAGGCCTCTAGCAACCTACGAGCACCTACCAGGACCAAAATATGCCTCCCCCCCCCCCCCTTCTGAAGAGGCTTAGAAAAACTTGGGTATCAAAAATCATCACAGAACCAAACGTTCCCTGACCATGGAACAGCTTCCCACACCAGTGGAGAGAGTGTGATAATGGATATGGGAAAGTGAACTTCAAGGTAATGTACCCAAACATCGATGGGATTACAAATAAAGCAAGTGAACTGGACGAAAGGGCACAAGAAGAAAACTCAGATGTGATAGCCTCACAGAAACGAAATTGTCAGGCATTATAACAAATGCAGTGTTTCTGCAGGACTATTATATAGTAAAGTGTCACGGTAATCTCTCTAGTAAGAGATTCGGCCTGCTCCCTCATCACCTATTCTATCATATCACGTCTATATATTCAAGAACTGCAGCCACAAGAGCAACAACTACCACTTTCCAGACGTCTAGACAGTACCACCAGTCTCTCCCCTACACCACGGCCCGTCACCCCCACCTCACCTGTTCGCTGGGAGCTCACGCCATCAGCCGAAACAAGCAGTTAACGTGAGTCGGTTCCTAGTTATCCACGACTACCAGCGCCACCTGGATGGCCGCCATTCCATATATACTGTATAGGGCAACCTAGCCCCACCACGATTCAGATTACTCTCGAGTGTTCTACTGAGTAGACCTGTTGACATACCCCGGTGTGGGAACAGAGTTATTCAGTCTGGCTCACAGTATTCTAACACCATATTTTATTTGCACATTAACGTAACGTAAATTTGATTGTTCATCTTGTTTGTTTTGCACACTTTGTATTAGAGCCAAGCCTGGATATTATTTTATGTTTCGTAATTTGTTTAACGTCAGTTTTCTATCAAAGTAAAGTATTTTTAAATGTTTTTTCCCTCTGCCTTATCCTACAGTTACTTCACCGTGAAGACAAATTGCAGTCTTAACTTTTTTTTTACTTTCTCTTTTATTTATGTGACTGACATTCCATCTGCCTAGAGAGATTGCACTAACACCTATTTTTCTCGTCATAAAGGAAAGAGAGAAGGGGGAGGAGGGGGAGGAGTGGCCCTGCTGATAAGGAAGGACTGGAGCTTCAAAGAGATGGATATCCTGGTCTGTGAAGGATTCAGAGACCACATAACAGGAACTATGACAATGGGTGGACCCAAGATGATAATAGCAGTAATTTATAACCCTCCTTAAATGATAGAAGACCCAGACAGAAGTTTGATAGAAACAACATGGCAACCACTAATATAATAGAGAGCAGCTTCAGTTGCCTGCAGTAATGGATCTAGACTTTTAATCATGGGTGACTTCGACCACGGAAAGATTGACTGGGTGAATGGAGAACCACATACCTGCTTGATGGGGTTCTAGGAGTTGTTCTACTCCCCAAGCCCGGCCCGAGGCCAGGCTTGACGTGTGAGAGCTTGATCGGACAGGCTGTTGCTTGGAGCAACTCGCAGGCCCACATACCCACCACACTCCTGATGGTCTGGCACTTCTTGAAGAAAACTATCTAATTTTCTCTTGAAGATGTCCACGATTGTTCTGGCAGTATCCTTATACTCGCTGGGAGGACGTTGAACAACGCGGACCTCTGATGTTTATACAGTGTTCTCTGATTGTGCCTATGGCACCTCTGCTCTTCATTGATTTTATTCTGCATTTTCTTCCATATCGTTCACTCCAGTACGTTGTTATTTTACTGTGTATATTTGGGACCTGACCCTCCAGTATTTTCCACATGTATATTATTTTATATCTTTCTCGTCTCCTTTCTAGTGAGTACATTTGGAGAGCTTTGAGATGATCCCAATAATTTGGGTGCTTTATCATGTCTATGTATGCCGAATATGTTCTCTGTACTCCCTTTATTTCAGCAATCTCTCCTACTCTGAAGGGGGAAGTGAGTACTGAGCAGTACTCAACACGGGACAAGTGATTTGAAGAGTACAACCATTGTGATGGGATCCCTGGATTTGAAAGTTCTCATAATCCATCCTATCATTTTTCTGACTGACACAATATTAGCTTGGTTATGTTCCCTGAACATTAGATCGTCAGACAGCATTATTCCCAAATAATTAACATGCCGTTTTCCTCAACCCCCGCAAGCACAATTTGGTGAGTACATAGACTTCAGTTCAGTTCAGACTGAACTTCAACATCCACATACAACACAGCCAAAAAGCATAAAAAAAACGGTCGGTATACTTTCTAAAATCAGATATTATATTCTCCTCTCTGCTTCCTTTCATTATACTACCCACTAATCTATCCGTAGCTAACATACAGTATCTGTGCATGGGGTTCAACCACTGCAAATTCCCTCAAGACCATCATCACTAAGCAAAAATATACCATCAGAACAATAACAAACTATCTTCAGACAACACACAGCTTTTCTTTTTTAAGTCATTTAACATGCTAAACATACACTCACTCCACACATTCTCATGTGCTATCTACATGTACAAAACCTTGTTCGTAAATGCTAATCTTGATCTGAATCTTTTCCTTGCTAGGTGTAATAGAACCCATGAGCACCACACCAGAAATAAATACTGGATCTCTTTTGATATCACCAGAGTCAGACTAAATCTGTACAAACACTCCATGCAAATAAAAGGGCCCCAGCCAGTCTTCGGAACTCACTCCCTAATGACTTAAAAAATTGTCTAACCCGTGGCCCTGTTCAAAAGTAAAACCAAAAAGTACATAATTTTATCTTCATAGTTTCTTGCCTTGTGCTTCAAACATAATGTATCCTGTACTACTCATTTCTTCAATATTAGTACTTAAGACATATATCTTCACCAGTGTAATCACCTCTGTCAATTTATACTGTAGTTATTTGTCGATATAAAACCTTACTACAATATATCCTTTCACCTTACCTTATATGCTAGATTAAGGACCTGCCCAAAACGCTAGGAGTGTTAATGCTTTACATGAATGTAAAAATACCAATCTTACGTAATCTCACCGACCCATTGTACCGTCTTGTGAATAAAAATTATCATAATATCTAAATAGCAGAGCCCCCCATATGGTCTAGTACCTAAACAACAGAGTACCTCATAAACCAATATCTGAACAGCATGTACAGTATTTTCCTACACACCAGTAGGTACAAAACCTCATATTTTCTTATAAATATATAGAGGCAAGCATATAAAAGTCCTACGATGTTAATTCTATACAAACATGATACAAGGTATACAAGCGTCAACCCGTCCTTCAGATGTAAAATTTGTTGCCACGAGCCATAATCCGGCAACAAGCCACCACACACCTCAACGCCTCTCCTGTGTCCCTCCTTTACTCAAACCTCCTCTACCCATGCTCACCGAATTCTCCCCAACCTCCATAGGCTCCCCAGCATCCTCCACGTCCGACATTTTATGGATCTATGTGACAAACACTTTGTGAAGCCACCAGCGGAGAGAACGACGACCTCCTCCTAAGTGTTCCCGCCAAACATAAACACAGATGCCAACACAATGACCATGGTCATTACCTCAAATTACTTATACACTGAACCTTTTGGATTGTAAATTTTCATAATTATATTTTGTTTAAATGTATATTAATATTTTGTTTACCAGCACAACGAATAATTTTTTTTATAAATATCTGAGTAAGAAGTTTAGCTTTTGATTTGATCCGTACCATAGAGATATATTTCTGGAGGAGATTTAATGTTACATAGTACTAACTCGTTGGGGCACAGGGCTATAATAATAATTTATTTATTTATTTATTTATTTGTTTATTTGTTTATTTGTTTATTTGTTTATTTGTTTATTTGTTTATTTGTTTATTTGTTTATTTGTTTATTTGTTTATTTGTTTATTTATTTATTTATTTATTTATTTATTTATTTATTTGTTTATTTATTTGTTTATTTATTTGTTTATTTATTTGTTTGTTTGTTTGTTTATTTATTTATTTATTTATTTATTTATTTATTTATTTATTTATTTATTTATTTATTTATTTATTTATTTATTTATTTATATACAAGAAGGTACATTGGGGGTTAACAGAGAATATAGAGTTTAAGTTGGAATTACATTCTTGTAACGCCACTAGCACGCATAGCGTTTTGGGCAAGTCCTTAAACTAACCTTAGAGCAAATCCTTAAACTAACAAACAGTTATAGAAAATTAAGAGAATGTACAAGAATGTAACAACTCTTGTATATATCTCAAAAAAAAAAAAGAGTAAAATTGACAAAAAGTGTTCAAGCTCAAGTTCAAGTATGTTTATTGAGACAAGAAAGAAATACACCTCAAAGGAATAAAATAGTTTAGGCTATTTCTACCCTCCTCTACTCCAAGTCCCTCAAGGGGCGCACAAATTCAGTGAGTACAAATAGACAAATAACATTACAAGAATCCCATTTAACATTGCAGGTTAATATAGTAAGCACAGCATATAAGTGTTACACTCTTGGGGCAATATTCTTGTAGCTCCTAAGTATACTGTCTATTAAACAAATCCACAAGGGCCGTGACGAGGATTCGAACCTGCGTCCGGGAGCATCCCAGACACTGCCTTAATCAGACTATTTACCCTGTCGTAGCTCAGTCGATTAACACGGGAGACATCTCCCGTCAGGCAGGGTGCAGTCGCACCTCCACAGATCTCTAGTATCAGCTCTTGATATTGGTAATGGCTCAAAAGGGCCACCACTTACGGGCTATTCATGCCCGTGCCACCTTTGGGGTGGCTTAATCTTCATCAATCAATCAGTCGATTAAGGCAGTGTCTGGGATGCTCCCTAAGCCAGTGGGCCCTAAGCCTCTGGCTGGCCCACTAAGTGTTGTTTGTTTCTGTTTTACTTGGGTGGAGTATGAGTATTTATTACTCGTATGGTCGCTTCAGTAAGATTTTGCCATGTGTTTAACAACTTCTTCTGCTCTGTTAAATCTAAGTTGAAATCTTAATGGGTTTGTAACTGTGCACTGTGTTAGATAATGTTCCAGTGGTCTGTCGGGCATTTCTCCACAGTGCTGACATTTCCTCTCATCTTCCGGAACCTGTAAGCCTATTTCCCATGCACATGGGTATCCAAGCCTGATGCGATGTAAGTGTACTTCTGTTGCTCTACTGCTCCCTTTCATCAAACTAAGTGGTTCGTAGTTTTTTCATTCTTGTACCAACCCGCAGATCCTGATGTTGCAACTGCTGTGTTGTCCTTATCATCCTTAAATGCTCTCAACTCTTTAAGACATAACTGTAACATGCTCGTGTCCGAAGCTAGACACAAATACAACAAAATTATTAAGGATGGTAACAGAGTCCATTTCATGTGGTCTCCATCTCATGTTGGCCTCCGAATGCATGATAGAGCTGATAAGTTAGCCAAAGAATCTGCCTTTAAAGGAGCCGTTGAGTGTAACCTTGGATTGTCAATGAGCAATCTGAGAGCAGCAGTACACCGAGAACTTCAACAAGATCTTGTAGATCTGAGGCAAAGTGAAATTGACACCAGTAATTCCATCTATCATCATACTATCATGCAAGAGGAGCCACACATCTATGGATCATCCAATAAAATCAGCAGACTTCTAGATGTTACTACTGCTCGGCTTAGACTCGGTTACAAGTATCTCTGGGAATTCTCATTATCTGCTGATGTAGACCTGACCAAATGTAAACTGTGTCAACAAAATTATTCGCACACCTTCCGTCACTATGTGATGGAGTGCGAAAAGATACGTGAATTTAGAGACAATTCTATAACCAATGTTCCAGCGATGTGTCAATATTTCATTCAAAATGATCTGCTACAAGAAATTTTAGCCAAATATTCCCAGTTTGCTAACTGTAGGTAGTAACTAAGTGATTGTAACCTATCCACCGCTGCCCACTGGATGGGGGGCGGTGTGCAGGACAAACATATAAATTTTGACACTAGCTCTCCACATATGTCAGTTGCTTAATTTAGAACCTGTACTTGAGGTCGATTTCGAACCCATTGTTGATGTGACGACTTATATTGAATTTTGTAACTAGCTCATCAAGATTGTAACTTGCTTAGCTAAATGAATTGTGGGGTTCAGTCCCTGAGCCCATTATGTGCCTCTGTAACCCTTTCCACTACCGCCCACAAGATGGGTATGGGGTGCATAATAAATGAACTAAACTAACTAAACTTGTGGTCACTGTACATCTTTTGCATTGCTCTGTTTCTAATTACTTTCTTAATCTGTGATAGACTCTGTGGTATGCAAATGTGGTATGCATTTCATCTCTTAGTTGCAAGTTTTGCAGCTTCGTCTGCAATGTCATTTCCTATTATTCCCACATGACTTGGCACCCAGTTGATAAGTACCCGTCGGCCTTGTCGTTTGAGTGTTAGCATTAATGATATGACATTTGTGATCAAATGTATGCTATCACATATGTGTTCTTGTTGCAAGGTTTCAATGGCGGTTCTCGAATCTGTATGTATATGTATGTATCTGTATGTATTTATGTATGATAACATGTTGTCGGTGTTGAGCAAGAGCATGTTCCAAAGCCTTTTGAATGGCTAGCATCTCTGTTTGTAAAGTCGAACACCCATTTGAGAGCCTCCAACTATTTACAGAGTTTCCTGCTTTAACTGCAGCTCTGGTTTCGTGTCCCTGCTGGTCTACTGATCCATCTATGAAGTAAGTGAAGCTGTCGGATGCCAAGTTTGTTTCTATATGCATCTGTGCAATGTTACGTAGCAGATGAGGATTTGTCTGGTTCTTTTTCCTTCAAGAGCCATAATCTTAAAGTCTGGCGAAGATTCCCAAGGGGCTTGCGTAACAAAGTCTGCATGTATTTCGTTGACACCCTTCTCAGTGACTGTGTTTGTTATATTGAATGTATTGATGGTGTTTATCGCACAATGGGTCCACCTGTTGCTATTGGAGGCTCTTCTGTCCAGAGTTAGTGCTCCAGTGATTATATCTTTTAGTGAACTGATTCTAGGCCTAGTCAATATCTTGGTCAGCATGCACGCAGCGATCCCTTGTACCCTTATTTCAATCGACGTTAGCTTGGTTTCTAGTCTTAGGTTCAGTATTTTAGTCCATCTGGGAGCTCCTGTTATGATTCGCAATGCATCGTTTTGAATGCAAAAGTATAATAAAAGAGAATTTGTTGTCAATAGCTTCAATCAAGGCACTAACATCATCGAAATGTTTACCTAGGGATCTAACGTTCAAATTGATTACAGAGATATTGTGATTATGAGTTAATACATTGTTTACATCATGTGCTGCAAAATATCTGCAATTTAGATCATTAAAGTGATAATTGTCATAGATAGTGGATAAGAGGTTAAGTTCTGGGTCTATCTATACTTGTCAGCATAAAAAAAGCTGATTGCAGGAAAAACAAGGAAAGAAAGGCAAATTACAAGGTAGAAATAAGCTATAAAATAGGGAAAAAAATGTACACAAGACTGTACAAAACAAACACAAAAGGGGCTTACAGGGGTACAATGGAGTAAGGGAGTATGGCTAGGCTAGGCAACCTAGGTAATAAATGAGATTAAGGAAAAAACATATAAACATGGACTATACAAAACACAAGATATAGAAATACAAAACAAAAATATAAACAAGACTAAGCAATACAAAAACAAATTGAGCAAAAATGAAAAATGAGGTAGATTGCTTACAAGTACTCTCAGGTACACTGTAAGAAACAATTTGCAATTTGAGATGCAGGCAAAGCCAGGGTTACAATGGAGTAAGGGAGCATGGCGAGGCTAGGCAACCTAGGTAATAAATGAAGTTAAAGAAAAGTTGAATAATAAGCATAGGCAAATTTAAGCTAATGATTATTAACTATAAATAATTCAGTTATGACTGTATAATTAATAAGACCTGAAGAACTATAATGCACTCAATTAAATAATTTCAGTAAATGACTAGTTAAGAGTAAGTTAAAAATTAAGTCAGAAAATGAAACAATGAGACTTAGGAAACCTAGCCCCACTAGTTGACAGGGGGTTAATTAAGTTAATTCACTGGGAGTGATAATGAGTTGAGACAGACCACATTGGGAGAGGAAAGTGTCGAGGTTCTCTTCTTTAGTAATTGTGAACATTTTGCCCTCTGCGGTTTTTCTCACCTTTATCAGACCATCTCTAACGAAGCACTGATGAATCGCATCTGGGTTTATTTGACGGATTTGACGCAGGCGGTAGAGGAGGTGCTGTCTGTTCCTAGTCAAGCACTCGTTGATGTATAATCCTTTCCGTTGGGCTACAGCTGTCCGGACTAGATTGGATTTCGTGAACTGGGAAGACAGCTTCAGGCGAATTTTCCGTTGGTTTTGACCTGATGGATTCTTTTTGCCTACTCTATAGGCAGCAATAACGTAAGATTTGTTTAGAATGAGCTGCAATTTGTCTTTTAAGAGATCCAGAGCTATTTCGACACAGTTTTCACCTTCATGTTCCACAGGTGAAAACTGTGTCGAAATAGCTATA